CCCCCCCCCCAGAATGGAGTCAAAATATTTGATAGAGAGGTGAAAGACTAGACAATAAGTGAACCACGAGATGTATAGATCTAGCAACAGGAAGAAAGGAGCAGCTTGAAGCGGCTTACAAATCTTTAACATCAAAGACAGTAGACTTTATTAAGGGGGCTCTCGTGGCCTAGAGGTTAAGGTGTTGGCCTCTCATTCAAAGGTTCTGGGTTCGAATCCGGGTAGCGACGAAAGGTTTTCTTCTCGAAAATTGTCTCCCCTTTCACCACTTTCCCTGCTCTCTAACAATGTTCTGTTGTTTGCTTTCATCCTTACTTTCTGCCCCCACCCCCTCACCTCCTTTGCCCAAAGCTCTGGGCTCCTGACTCATCCTACAGCCTTTCTATACTCCTTGGATCCTTCTTACTGATGTCTTTCATCCCCACCCCTGATCTTCTTGTAGGAAAGATCTACACCTAGCTTCTCGGACAAGAGCGAAAAATTTCGGAGGTCCCATGTGCAAATTGCGCACGTTAAAGATCCCTTTGTGGTCCAAAATCGAAGAGAGTAGGCTTCCACCGCCACCCGGCCAAAATTCAAAATTTTCTACCAACTGAAAAAGTTGAATATGTCCCGCGCGCTCATATGGCCGTATGCAGTTAAAGGCGCCGTAAAACAACAAAAACCAACAACAACCCCATAATAATAAAATACTACTATTTTCCCCCTTCCTCCAGCTTGCGGACACCGGGGCTCCCATCTACTGTGACACGACCACTGGTCAGAAAGTGGTCACTGGACTCACCGCCTCTACCACCTGTGACGTGGGAGGGACCACGCTCGTCCTTGACCTCTCAGACGCCGACCCCGACTTCAAATTCGGATATTAATTGATTAACTCCCTTAGCCAGGTGATTTTGATGGAGAATTAACAATTTGGATATTAATTGATTAACTCCTTTAGTGTGGAGACTGCCGGAATTTTTTATGGAGAATTAACAATTTGTTTGTTAATTAATTAACTCCCTTAGTGTTTCAAGACTGCGTGTGTTTTTGAAGGAGAATGAACAATTTGTTTATTAATTAATTAACCCCCTTGTGTTTCAAGACTGTCGTTGTTTTTCATGGAGAATGAACAATTTGAATATCACCTCCCTTAGTGTGGGTTAACAGGAGGGAGTTTTTGCTTGAGAGGAAACAATAAACATTCAGCCGTGACGAATCTTCACATCAGTTCTTAATAATGATTATAGCGCTAGTAATAATAATTAAAATAAGCATGATAATGATGATAATAATAA